AGACTGAGCCCCTCTGCCGGAACCTGACTGTCTCCCACCTCCAGCTCCGCGTCCAAACTTGGAGGGAGTACCTTTATCCCCTTGTCCGGAGCTGCTTCCAGGAAAGCCCCGCTTTTTCGCCTGGAAGTTCCGGACCTGCAATCGAGCACTCTCTACCCTTTGGGCCTTTTCTACGACCTCGCTAAAAGCATTGATTTGAGCCACTGCGAGGTCCTTTTGGATTTCGACGTTCAAGCCCTGGATGAAACGCCTGATTCGCCGTTGCTCTGTCATGATCAGCTCAGGTGCAAATTTGGACAAACGGGTAAACTGGCTATCGTATTCCGCCACCGATTGAGTTCCTTGGCGGAGTCGGATGACCTCGTCTTCCTTCATCTCCTGAACTAGAGGAGGGAAAAATTTTGCATTAAATTCCCGGATGAAATTCACCCAAGTTCTGGGCGTTTGTTCCCGTTCCCATTTTTGTCTTATGATATTCCACCAGGAACGGGCTGCCCCTTCTAACTGGAATACGGCAAAAGTCACCTGCCGTTCATCGGTGTAGTGCAAAGCCGCAAAAATATCGACCATCTTCTCGAGCCATCGCTCGGCAATATCCGGATCAGGTCCCCCAATGAATTTGGGTGGAGCAAACTTTTGGAAACGTTCGAGAGCTCTGTCTTCACTCTCGACATGATTGCCAGGGTTTCCGGGGTTTCCAGGATTAGGGTTTGGGTTCTGGCCTTGTTGCTGCACTACTTGTGCTAGTAGGTTAGTCATTTGCTGCATAGCGGCAGCGATTTGCACATTGGGGTTAGGGTTAGGTCCAGTAGAGGTTTCCCTAGTACCCCTAACCGGTGTGGGTTGTCTATTACCGCGCCCACGACCCCGTCCACTACGTGTTTCTTCCATAACGTTTTACTTGATCTAGGCAAGTGTACTAAACCAATATAAAACAATGCATGTAAGTAAACTCAAGACTTTCCAAACACATATATACATTCCAAACAAGGCAAACAACACACATATATACAATCAGTCAAGTCATGTTCAGTCAAGTCAAGTACAAGCATGGAGACAATCCCCAAGGGAATGGCTGTGACGCCCCCCACTTCTCCCAAGGGCGAACCCAAGGGTATCCGCGAGACGCCTGCCCAGCTCTCGCCAGGACTCAAGACAAATCAAATCGAACTTAACGATACATACCAAATACTATGAGTCAAAATAAAGAAAAGTCGCTTCCTTAACTAAATATTTAAATCTTACATCATGTTCACAAAAGATACATCAAGTTCCAAAATGCAACCATTAAAAGTCGACTACACATTTACAGCCCCGATTCCAATCAAAAGTATAATCTAGTCGGCTTTACCAAAATCTTCCAATCCAACCTGTTAAGGAAAACAAACTAATAGGATGAGCCAATACTCAGTGAGGCCAAGAAAACACACATGCAAACACATAATCCAAGTAGCATCAACAATTACATGGTAGGTAAGGCTATCAAATTCGAATAGGAAAAATAAACAGAAATAATTCAAGGATACTGTAGCTCTCAGGAGCTAAATTCCACGTAGTCGAGTCGAAGTCTTGATCACATCTCACGTTGACACTCCGTCAACCACATAAGTATCAAATCCGTAGATACACTACTTTTCTTCGAATCCCGTCACCGTTACACCCCCTTACCGGGCCCGCTCATCAAAGTTTTTGATAATACTCGAGTATATCATGGCAATACTGCACGAGTAATGCCGAGCAAGATCTCTCCAATAGATCATGCTCTACGAATATCTCATGGTTTGCTAAGCTTATCGACCAAACCCATGCTGGTTCGATTCGCAAAGTTAGCCAACGAGTTTTGGGCGTCCCCCGAATATGAATACGAATACGGATATAAGTCGATGAGCAACGCTCAAATCGACAATTCCAAATAGGAATCACAAATACGGATCACATATACGAATCACAAGTACAAATCACATCCACATTACCATGTACAAGTCGGATACGAATTCACATAGCAAAATTCGAATATAATTTCATTTGAAGGAGAACGAGTGCGATAAAGTACACTCTCGTCTCAAAATTTCAAATTTACATAACGGATAAGAAACAGATAACCACTTAACAACAAGTTCATGCACTTGACACTCACAGTGATTCAAGTAGCGAGTTCAAATGATGGTTTAGGCGTCTCCCGTGAGATCCTCTGGAAGGTCCTCTTGAGCGCCTGAGCATTTAATAGGGAATTATCATTCACACATCCCAATTATCAAGGAAGATTGTGCACTAGTACAATCTGGGGAAATTTCATGAAAATGAACCTCAATTACTAGTAAATCGATGTTCAAGTGGAGTTTCTTAATGTACAAGAGCAATCGAGTTTTGTTATCTTGGAAATCAAGCATAAACGTTCAAGTATTATCGAAGGAATAAGGAATACTTGAAAAACTTCATTTCCTTGAAATTCAGAAAATTTCAGTTTTGATACGATATTTTGAAAAAATCGTATCTCAGATTCCACATGTCGAAAATTGGAAAACTTGGTACTGTTGGAAACCTCTTCCAAAGTACTAAAAGTTCTTAGAAGACATTTTTCCATGAATCTAAGTGGAAGGTGTTCAAAAAGGAGCTTAAAGTTGCTGTTCCAAATCACCCAGGATTGAGCCGGGGTTGGTTTTTCGCTAACTTTGAAAATTCAGCAGAATTCACTCGTTGCAAACCAGCCCGTGAAATTTGTAGCTCAATTAGAGGTGCAAGTAAGGTTTAGGGCAAAACAAGCGGATCAAGAATCGGTGTTTTGAGCCCCAAGATATGGTAGCTCAAAGTTGGATAGATTTCAAGACTGTTAACAAATTTCCAGATTTGGTTCCGACTTTGGACCTTTTATTAAGTGTCAAAAAGGAATTGAATTGACACCAAATTTTGCAGTATGATACTCCTATATGAAGGGTATCTCTCTATCAAATTTCATGGAAAAATACCCTCGGAAGGGTGGTCATTCAATCAACCAAAGTTTGGAAAAATCCTTAAGGCAATCTGTCCAAATCTAAGGTTTTCAAAAACGAGGCAGTCGCCGTATTTTGATCACAACTCCCTCAATTTAACTCGGAATTGGGAATGGTTGATAGTGTTAGAAAATACATTCACAGGGCTAAAATTGCACAGAAGAAATCGTTCCAAGTTTCAGCATGCAACTGGTTCGAAATTAAGCCTAAATTTGCAGCATCTTCAAATCATTTCGGCAGAACGGAGAAACAGGACAGCGAACTTCAGATGAATGGTGTGGCTCACACACATGAAACCACAATGTGAATTTTACACCGTTGGAAACATGGGAACGTCTAGTTTCAAATGCTGCTAACGGCACTTGATTTCGACGTCGGAGTACGGAGTTATGGACGAAACACGAACACTGGTCTGGTTACGACGGCAACCATTTCCCAGATTACTAGCTTTGGAAAATAAATTCTTTTGAACAACCAAAACTCAATATTTTTCAACGAAATTTTGTACACAACTTCTACAACATGTAAACAACATAATAAAGCCATTAAATCCTCAAATTTCTGCATTAAAGTGACCGAACAGAGCAGGGGTAAAATGGTCCAACTTGGCCTTTGCACTCAACGTGAGTTTCCAGCAGTTTTTCTTCAGCAAATCACTAACTTAAACACTAATCCGACATCATAAACTTCAGCAAGCACAGAATCAGCAACAACCCAAGAGTGGGAATTCATAGAGCCCACTTTTTCCCAACAATACAAGCTACTAAAGTGACGATTCTAGCTCAAATGCATAAATCAAACTCCAAAAGACAAGTTTAAGGTGATTTATTACTACCTACTTTGCTGGCTGGTTAGGACAGAAGTTTCGGCCCCTTTGAAGCTTGAAGAACCGTGAAAGCTCCTCCCTTTTCCAGCTAAATGTGTTGTCCAAGACTTAGGCTAAATGGTGCTAAATTTTTAGAAGATTTGGTGGTGATTTGCACGAGCTTTGGAAGAAGAAATGTTGAAGGTTTCGGTTGTCCCTTTTGCTGCTGCTATCCGGCCTTGAAGCTTGAGGGAATGAAATGTGATTGCTGGTTCCTTTGCGTACATAAGACGCTTGACGTCTAATATATTAAATACGTCAAATCAATTACAACTAGTGCCCTACGCGCGCGTTTTGTGTTCGATTTCTCTCACGTTTGTTGCACTAGTGCACTAAACCTCTGGGACACTTACATTTATATAAATATTATTCATTCTTAATTGTCCCAAAATAATTGTCCAAAGTCCCTCAATTAAGCGCGCACGTGAAACACGTATTTCTAATTTAGGCGCAATAAAAATTGAAACCTTTGAGAAATTCTTATAACGATCTTACCACTAACTATCACTTCAATATTTAAACCTAAAATTGCCTATTTTAGGACCATTGTATATGTCTTAAATTTTTGAGCTTATTGTACTCCTAATTGGCTAAAGTTTTCAGACACGTTTTCACTTTTTCACTAAACAAGCTTCTAAGAAAATAATTTTTGAAACGAGACACTTTAAAAATATAACGAAGCTATAAAACCATATATTTAGGTCTAATAAGGATAGAAAATAATATTCGGGGCAAAAATCCAAATAGATAATTAATTGAGCCAAAATTAGGGGTTTAAAAATAATAATTTTACGAGTCCTCACGTGAATTGAGTATTAATTCCTCAATTAACCTTTCTTAATCTATTATTGATCGTTCTTAATTCTCCAATATTAATACACTATCGATTCAAATATAGTCTCGAAAAACGTGCACTCGTTGTTCCGAACTAAACGAGTTTTCGAAAAGTGAATTTTTCCAACAAAACGCTTTTAAAAATATAAAAGAGGCGTCGTTCCATATAAATGGATTTTAAATGATCGAAATAAATAATTTGGAGAAAAATGAGTAAATAAATATTTAAACAAACTACTAATATTCGATAAAAAAAAAAAAAAAATTTCGGGTCCTCACATCCTCCCCTCCTTAAAAGAATTTCGTCCTCGAAATTCACACTTTGGATAATAGTCATACCCCTTAAGAGTCATGCCTTTCAAATTAATCACTAACTTACACCCTCCGATCCATATATCACAATTTCTATTTACCCAATTAGTAGTCAAACTTTGATTCTATCTTATGAATCTAGGGTTTTGCAAAAAGTGTGTACGGTACTAGGTCACTGAGAACCTTAGATAGACAAATAAAAGAAAGAATCATACCTCCAATGACTTTAGTAGAATCGGAAACATGTTGATAGCCTAATGCATAAACCCTAGCTGGTGCATTAGATCGACTTCCTCCAACACTAGGCTGCTTAGCGGCTGACTTTTCAGGCCTTTGGGTACTACCGCCTTCTTTTGGTACGGTCGGGCATTTCGATATCTGGTGCTCGGTACTACCACAATACAAGCACTTCCCTTGTTTCCTAAAACAATCATTCTCCGTATGGTTGAGCTTGCCACAATAACCACAAACGACTTGGGGAGCCACAGATTGACCACTTGGAGGTGTCCCTCTCGATTGACCTCGTCCATTGCGATCTCCTCTTGATTGAGTCCCTTTTGGCATGTTAGATATCTCCACTCCACCCGTTCCTTTTCCCTTTTTAAAAGGTGGGGCACTCTTATCTGCCTGTCCCGAAGGGTTACTAGAAGTGCCCCTCTTCTTAGCATGAAAGTCTCTAACTTGCAGCCTTGCACTCTCGACTCTCTGTGCTTTTTCTAAGACTTCAGTGAACGTAGAGATTTGGGCTGCAGCCAAACCCTCCTGGATTTCTACATTAAGTCCCTGCACGAACCGTCTAATCCTCCTCCGTTCATTGATCACCAATTCAGGAGCGTACTTAGAAAGCTTAGTGAACTTTCCCTCGTACTCCGCTACACTAAGGGTTCCTTGTTTCAACTTGATGAATTCATCCTCCCTTTTCTCTTGGATTAAGGGCGGAAGAAATTTCTCATTAAATTCCCTTGTGAAATTCTCCCAAGTCCAAGGGGTTTGAGTTCTCTCCCATTTTCCTCTTATCAGATCCCACCAAGCACGGGCTACTCTGTAACAGCCCCACCTCCCCCTAAGGCGAACCAGAAGGTTTGGCGGGCGGCCTGCCCGGCTCTCGCCGGGACTCATTCGATCACTAAATTCCTCAATTAAATTACAATACAAATCTCAAATATACATAACATGGTCCAGAAATATACATCCAAGTCTCCAATAATTACATGTCACAAATGCAGCGGAAACTAATTCTCGACTATACATAAAATGATTCCAAATCCAAATTGTACAAAATATAGGCCATCCAGACATGTGAATAAGCACAACAAGTCCTTCCTTCGCTTTGAGCCCTGTGGAGGGGAATAAAATATTTTTGGGGTGAGCTAGAAGCTCAGCGAGTAACCAGTAAAATCAGTTATCAAATCAGTTTCACAATCGTTCATTTCAATGATGTCATAGATCAATGATGGAGTATCAATAATTCAAGAAACATTTACAATGGAAAGCGATAGTGACATTCATGAAAGGATACGTTCGTTCTCCTGACAATTCATTGCATTTGGTTTCATTCGTCCATTCATTCACCCCGTCCCTGGCTTTTGGCCAGGCTCCACCAACCTACAAGGTAATACTCGAGTATACCGAAACGTTCACCCAAGTTCCTAGTCGCCCGACCGAGTCCGCTTCTGGCTCGAGACGACCGGTAACAAGGGGCAATGGCCAGTTCAGCCCAAGAGGCTTACATTCATGCGCAAGTAGCATTTAAGCACTAATCATTGAAAATTTCATATATATTTAGGTCGAGTGCGATAAAGTACACACTCGCCTAGAAAACTCGTTTTAACAATCATTGAAAGCAAAATCAATAATAACAAGACACTAATGCAAGCACGCATGATATGTAAGAAACAGTTCCAAAAGTAACTTTGAAAACGGTTCAAAAGTAGATAATGCAGTAAAGCGGTTCAAAAGTAAATTTGGAAACAGTTTGAGGTCACTCACCTCCACGGCTCCGAAACTATCCATCATGTATCATTGCCTTGCTCAAATCCAAGTCTTAAATCACAAACTCAATGCAAATAACTTCCTTCAAAAGTTCGGACAGCACTTCCCCTGAATTTCCTTACTTTTCCAGCCATCATGGCTTCATTATATCCTCAGCCAGTCCCAAAGGTTCACACACAACAACAACAATTTCATCCCATAGTCATTCAGCAAGCTCCAAGTAGTACTAGTACAAGTCAAGCTAGGGAAAAGTCCGAAAATGAAGGTTTAGCTCAAACCAGAAAAATAGTTTTGGACGTCACTTTGCGGTAATGGCACAAATTGCACTACGATTATCGGATTAGGGTGTAAGACCCACCATCTCGAAGCTAAAAACTAGGGCTACAACAATGAAGAAGGGCACTCAGTCCAAATCCCAGCACAACTAAGTCAAATATGCCAAATAACAAACCAGAACCGTAATTGCAGGTTCCCAAATCACACAATGCTGTAATTCGTCTATCTCAGTCTACACAGGTCCAAATGCATTGATTCCAAAGACATGCGGTAGCTAAGACATACAGCTACATTTCATCAGAAGACACCAACATCCAAATCCAAAGAAATTCCAGTCAAAACAGACGATTACAATCGCAGTTCGCAAATTCTGATCACCCAGAACAGCAACAGTAAAATCGACATATCTCACTCTACACTACTCCAAATGACCTGAAATTTTGTAGGAACCTCAAATACATCAATACCTACAACTTTCATGTTTTGAGCAAAGGCCAATTCGGCCTCTATCTATGACCTAAAATTTCGGACAGAATGAAGAACCAAGAACCCTAATTTTCCAGAAATTCTTCCAAATCCAAAATTGATTGCAATTGCCAATCATTTACATCCACTAGAGTCATAACCCCTTATTACTAACCATCATAAACAACCATAATATCAAGATCACATTAAACCAGAAAATTCCTCAAAAAAAATAAAAACTTCACCATATCATCCATAAGCTAGCAATAAACCACAATTTCCAACTCTATAGCCACCATTAGGCATAAATTCAACATCATTAGGTGTAAGAGGATAGTCAATCACTACTTACCAAGTAAACAAGAAAGAGGAAGTTGTAGACCACCTTAGCTTCTCCAAAAACTTCACCAAAACACTCACTAGCACCAAATGGAAGAATTGTATGGAGTAGAAACAAGTTTAGAAGGTTGGATGGTTTAATTGAAGCAAGATGAAAGCCAAAACTTGAAGAGTTTTTCTCTCTTTTGAAGCTCAAGAAAGTCGGCCAAGAGGAAGACAAGAAATGGTGATTTTTAGTCAATTTTTGAGATATTTAACTTAAGGGGAAAAAAGTCAAAAGTCCAACCAATGAGAAAGTGACACTTGGCACTCTATTAAATGCATTTCTATCCTTTAAGTCTCTCTCACATCAATCAAATCACCTCCTCTTCTTATCTCTTAACACCCGATAAATTTCACTCACTATCCGGAACTTAATCTTATTGGCCGAATTTTTTCCGAACTTTTCGCACTAGTGGGTCCCACGTCCTTTCAATATCCAATGCTAGGAAAATCATTTTAAAACTATTTTTGCTCATAAACTTTATCTGGGGAATTTTTTCTAATCAAGAAAATGTAGAAAAGGCGGGCGTTTTTTAAAAAAAATAAACCCTAGAAAATTAGAAAATTTTCGGGTTCTCACACTTATACTTTTCGGGGCGTCACATACTCCCTCAAATTGGAAAGCAGCGAAATTCGCTCGCCTATCTTCAGTGTAGTCTAAAGCAGCGAATATGTTGGTCATCCTTTCTAACCAATTCTCCGCTACCTCAGGATCAGGTTCGCCAAGAAACTTAGACGGGTTAAATTTTAAGAACCTCTCTAAGGCTCTATCCTCACCTCTTTCCTGGCCCCCAGGTTGGTTAAACGGTCCTGGACCCTGTCTTTCAGCTAAGCGTTCTAGGATATCAGTCATCCTATTGATGGCAGTAGCCACTTGATTACCCTCGATATTTTCCTGACCTTGGATCGGTGCAGTTGCCGATCCCTGGTCACCCCTTTGAGGTTGGGCCTGTCTAGTCCCTCGTCCACGGCCTCGACCCCTTCTTAGCCCTTCCATAACCTAGGCGTGCCTAGTGCAAGAAATAAATAAATAAATTATGCAATGCAAAGTAGAAAACAGGAACCAATCAAGAAAACATCGGAAATAACAATAATTTACATTTATTAACATATCAAGTTCATACAATTAGCAAGTCATGGGGTAGTCACAAAAATATAGCACTCAGATGCCACAAGAGTACTTTTAATCACATACGACTAAAGTAAAGTCAAGTGCCTCAAAAGTAGGCCACACAGTCATACAAAAAAAAATGCAATGGCCTCAACACTAGCATCACCCCAGCTAAATCTAACTACATCAGTCAAAAGGGGCTAAATTTTTTTTTTTTTTCGTTCATTTCCAACTCATATCAAACAATTGGATCCTATTGAGTTACATAGGACCATCCCTCAATCTTTCTCTATCTCTCTCTCTCTTAGGCTCAACTATATTCTACTTCTCTCTAGTGAATATTGTCCCACACTCAGTTAAAATATTCTGCGCCAGATGTCTCATTTCTCTTACTATATGAACTGGACATCCGTTGACCTCCTGCACTTGTTCTCACAAAACATTAGTCCGTTCTTGTTCTTCGCAAATGGAGATCTTAAGTTTTTAGCATTGCCCTCAACTCTTAATTACTCGGGTACAAGAATTCGAAATAAAATAATTCACATCTCGAGCTGGCCAGTCCCAAGAGTAAATCACCATATTTAAGATTCATATCCAACATACATATCTAGTCTTTCCCCAAGTATTACGATAAAATATTTATACCTATCACATTCATGATTCACAGCTTACACTCTAAAAGAGTACTTAAGCCTTTACTCATTCATATGATAAGGACCATAATACCATTTGGCCCAATCTCACCCCGCGCAAATACCACGCGAAGCGGCTCTGATTTTTTTTTTTTTTTCTACAAGTGGTCACTTAACTTTCAAACCAGTCCCACAGTCCGGCATCCTAAACTTCAAACTTAGAATACACTACAAAGATCTGAAACTTACGCTCTGATACCAACTGTGACGCCCCCCACTTCTCCCAAGGGCGAACCCAAAGGTATCCGCGGGACGCCTGCCCAGCTCTCGCCAGGACTCAAGACAAATCAAATCGAACTTAACGATACATACCAAATACTATGAGTCAAAATAAAGAAAAGTCGCTTCCTTTACTAAATATTTAAATCTTACATCATGTTCACAAAAGATACATCAAGTTCCAAAATGCAACCATTAAAAGTCGACTACACATTTACAGCCCCGATTCCAATCAAAAGTATAATCTAGTCGGCTTTACCAAAATCTTCCAATCCAACCTGTTAAGGAAAACAAACTAATAGGATGAGCCAATACTCAGTGAGGCCAAGAAAACACACATGCAAACACATAATCCAAGTAGCATCAACAATTACATGGTAGGTAAGGCTATCAAATTCGAATAATTCACATTTCGAATAGGAAAAATAAACAGAAATAATTCAAGGATACTGTAGCTCTCAGGAGCTAAATTCCACGTAGTCGAGTCGAAGTCTTGATCACATCTCACGTTGACACTGCGTCAACCACATAAGTATCAAATCCGTAGATACACCACTTTTCTTCGAATCCCGTCACCGTTACACCCCCTTACCGGGCCCGCTCATCAAAGTTTTTGATAATACTCGAATATATCATGGCAATACTGCACGAGTAATGCCGAGCAAGATCTTTCCAATAGATCATGCTCTACGAATATCTCATGGTTTGCTAAGCTTATCGACCAAGCCCATGCTGGCTCGATTCGCAAAGTTAGCCAACGAGTTTTGAGCGTCCCCCGAATATGAATACGAATACGAATATAAGTCGATGAGCAACGCTCAAATCGACAATTCCAAATCGGAATCACAAATACGGATCACATATACGAATCACAAGTACAAATCACATCCACATTACCATGTACAAGTCGGATACGAATTCACATAGCAAAATTCGAATATAATTTCATTTGAAAGAGAACGAGTGCGATAAAGTACACCCTCGTCTCAAAATTTCAAATTTACATAACGGATAAGAAACAGATAACCACTTAACAACAAGTTCATGCACTTGACACTCACAGTGATTCAAGTAGCGAGTTCAAATGATGGTTTAGGCGTCTCCCGTGAGATCCTCTGGAAGGTCCTCTTGAGCGCCTGAGCATTTAATAGTGAATTATCATTCACACATCCCAATTATCAAGGAAGATTGTGCACTAGTACAATCTGGGGAAATTTCATGAAAATGAACCTCAATTACTAGTAAATCGATGTTCAAGTGGAGTTTCTTAATGTACAAGAGCAATCGAGTTTTGTTATCTTGGAAATCAAGCATAAACGTTCAAGTATTATCGAAGGAATAAGGAATACTTGAAAAACTCCATTTCCTTGAAATTCAGAAAATTTCAGTTTTGATACGATATTTTGAAAAAATCGTATCTCAGATTCCACATGTCGAAAATTGGAAAACTTGGTACCGTTGGAAACCTCTTCCAAAGTACTAAAAGTTCTTAGAAGACACTTTTCCATGAATCTAAGTGGAAGGTGTTCAAAAATGAGCTTAAAGTTACTGTTCCAAATCACCCAGGATTGAGCCGGGGTTTGTTTTTTGCTAACTTTGAAAATTCAGCAGAATTCACTCGTTGTAAACCAGCCCTTGAAATTTGTAGCTCAATTAGAGGTGCAAGTAAGGTTTAGGTCAGAACAAGCGGATCAAGAATCGGTGTTTTGAGCCCCAAGATATGGTAGCTCAAAGTTGGATAGATTTCAAGACTGTTAACAAATTTCCAGATTTGGTTCCGACTTTGGACCTTTTATTAAGTGTCAAAAAGGAATTGAATTGACACCAAATTTTGCAGTATGATACTCCTATATGAAGGGTATCTCTCTATCAAATTTCATGGAAAAATACCCTCGGAAGGGTGGTCATTCAATCAACCAAAGTTTGGAAAAATCCTTAAGGCAATCTGTCCAAATCTAAGGTTTTCAAAAACGAGGCAGTCGCCGTATTTTGATCACAACTCCCTCAATTTAACTCGGAATTGGGAATGGTTGATAGTGTTAGAAAATACATTCACAGGGCTAAAATTGCACAGAAGAAATCGTTCCAAGTTTCAGCATGCAACTGGTTCGAAATTAAGCCTAAATTTGCAGCATCTTCAAATCATTTCGGCAGAACGGAGAAACAGGACAGCCGACTTCAGGTGAATGGTGTGGCTCACACACATGAAACCACAATGTGAATTATACACCGTTGGAAACATGGGAATGTCTAGTTTCAAATGCCGCTAACGGCACTTGATTTCGACGTCGGAGTACGGAGTTATGGACGAAACACGAACACTGGTCTGGTTACGACGGCAACCATTTCCCAGATTACTAGCTTTGGAAAATAAATTCTTTTGAACAACCAAAACTCAATATTTTTCAACGAAATTTTGTACACAACTTCTACAACATGTAAACAACATAATCAAGCCATTAAATCCTCAAATTTCTGCATTAAAGTGACCGAACAGAGCAGGGGTAAAATGGTCCAACTTGGCATTTGCACTCAACGTGAGTTTCCAGCAGTTTTTCTTCAGCAAATCACTAACTTAAACACTAATCCGACATCATAAACTTCAGCAAGCACAGAATCAGCAACAACCCAAGAGTGGGAATTCATAGAGCCCACTTTTTCCCAACAATACAAGCTACTAAAGTGACGATTCTAGCTCAAATGCATAAATCAAACTCCAAAAGACAAGTTTAAGGTGATTGATTACTACCTACTTTGCTGGCTGGTTAGGACAGAAGTTTCGGCCCCTTTGAAGCTTGAAGAACCGTGAAAGCTCCTCCCTTTTCCAGCTAAATGTGTTGTCCAAGACTTAGGCTAAGTGGTGCTAAATTTTTAGGAGATTTGGTGGTGATTTGCACGAGCTTTGGAAGAAGAAATGTTGAAGGTTTCGGTTGTCCCTTTTGCTGCTGCTATCCGGCCTTGAAGCTTGAGGGAATGAAATGTGATTGCTGGTTCCTTTGCGTACATAAGACGCTTGACGTCTAATATATTAAATACGTCAAATCAATTACAACTAGTGCCCTACGCGCGCGTTTTGTGTTCGATTTCTCTCACGTTTGTTGCACTAGTGCACTAAACTTCTGGGACACTTACATTTATATAAATATTATTCATTCTTAATTGTCCCAAAATAATTGTCCAAAGTCCCTCAATGAAGCGCGCACGTGAAACACGTATTTCTAATTTAGGCGCAATAAAAATTGAAACCTTTGAGAAATTCTTATAACGATCTTACCACTAACTATCACTTCAATATTTAAACCTAAAATTGCCTAATTTAGGACCATTGTATATGTCTTAAATTTTGAGCTTATTGTACTCCTAATTGGCTAAAGTTTTCAGACACGTTTTCACTTTTTCACTAAACAAGCTTCTAAGAAAATAATTTTTGAAACGAGACACTTTAAAAATATAACGAAGCTATAAAACCATATATTTAGGTCTAATAAGGATAGAAAATAATATTCGGGGCAAAAATCCAAATAGATAATTAATTGAGCCAAAATTAGGGGTTTAAAAATAATAATTTTACGAGTCCTCACGTGAATTGAGTATTAATTCCTCAATTAACCTTTCTTAATCTATTATTGATCGTTCTTAATTCTCCAATATTAATACACTCTCGATTCAAATATAGTCTCGAAAAACGTGCACTCGTTGTTCCGAACTAAACGAGTTTTCGAAAAGTGAA